AGCGGAGGTGGGTGAGGGAGGAGGGGGGGTGAGGGTGGGGAGGTGGGTGAGGAGGTGGGTGAGAGACGAGGGGTGGGTGAGGGAGGGGAGGGAGGTTAGGGAGGGGAGGTGGGTGAGGGAGGAGGGGTATGTTAGGGAGGGGAGGGGAGTGTGGCTCTGCCACACTCTCAGCTGGACTCACTGGCTTTTTTGTAAATTAGCTGTAATGGTTTGAGCCATTTGACAGAAACAGTTTCCATACATTTCCATCAGTTTAATATGAAAGTTGATCTGTCATAATACTTGTTACCTTTGATTTTTTATTACCGTTTCTTTTCTTTATTTTTTTTTTCCAGATAGATTTTAGTTTTAAGGAGATGGGTTTACATTGGCGTACAGAACATATTCCTTAAAATGTTACAGTATCACTTTCTGGGTCTTCCAATAAAATCCCACTCTTAAAACAGTGACATTGGTATGGTGCTTTTAAATCTTACGTTTAGATTTTTATTATTGTTCACATTTTTCCCTAGTCCCTGCCTCTTCTTTGAGAGAATACATGTTTTTATTCAGTGTATTCATTACATAAATGTCTTTGTCTATGAAAGAGTATTTGGAAATGAAAATTGTGTTTAAAACATAAGTGCTAAAAGCTTATAATGATCAAGTTTGTCATTAATAGCACTTTTGTATTGTGGAGCAAAAAATCTGTTGTCCATTTCATTTAAATATTCTTTTCATGTTTATGTCCTAGATTCTTCTTGTCAGAGAGCAGCAATTAAAATAATTGATTCTGCAAAAAGATCCAGCAGTGTAATGCTTAACAGTCCATATCAAAAAGGTCAGACACCAATTACTGTAATTTTGCATAAAATGAAATAAAAAACACTGTCCCTTTCACTCCAAGTGAAAAAATGTTAGGATAATCAGAATTCTCACGAGGGTTTTTTCAATCAATACATGCTTCAGTGGATGATTGCAGCCCCAAATCGAAAGAACATTCTATTCAGGCCTACAATTATGGTCACACAGAATAGAAGTCCTTTAAGGAAGACTTTTTTCCTGCTTGAAAAGATTGATCATCCATAATCCTCATGTCTTCTCTGACATCGTATGTTTCTGGTGCTCAGCCCCTTTTGTGAATGTTTGCATTCACTGAATTGACTCCTTCCTGAAATGCTTGTGACTCTGTCTTTGTAAGGAAAGAGGAGACCTTTTCTATTTAGACTTTCTGGGCTTTAACAATGAAATCTAAAAATTTAAGTTGAATGTGTTTCTACAACCTTGAGGGTAATCTTAAACTCAGCCTATGGAAAACATCATTCATATTAAAACAGTTTTTTGAGTCTGCATAAATATAATTAATTTTTTCCCCCAAAACATACATATGTATGTTTGGGGTTTTTTTTGAAGCCAAGTACCCATATGCTTAGTTAGAAAGAAAATATTTAAGGGTAAATTTTTAGCTGAAGGATAAGAACTTTCAAGAATCCAAAAATATACATTTATAAACAAGGTTTAGTGAAGGTCATTTTGCTGGGTTAAGGCACAAGCCCTGCCTGTTTCTCCCACTCATCCAAACATTCTTGTGGTTAAGTGATAAAACACGAAGGTAAGGTAGAGTAAGACATTGATTCAAGCTATGGAGCATGAAGATATGGACTGAGAAGAAATTTACTTTATTGATAAAATAACTTACAACCCTCACCCTGATGGTATTTTCTTTGCAGACTTCATCTTCACCCAGACCTCAAACAACAAGGTATAAATTGGTAAAGAATGACATTTTGTGTTGGGGAAAGGATTAATTCATTTCACTAGGGTTGTGGAGTTGTGCAGAAGCATCTAAGATTGGCTTCAGGGCAAAAATAAACTCTCCTATCAGAGATCACAGTGCCTGCAGGACCGGTTTCTCCCGGAGGCTGAGAGGGGGCATCAGCTCCTCGCCTCCTCGCCTCTCTTCTGGGCTGCTGCGGTCCTTGCGTTTCTTCACTCATCTCTCCAGTGTTTGCCTCTGATGTCACATGGCTACTTTCACTGTGCATCCGTGTCTCACTGCGTCTCTTCTCCTCTTCTTAGGAGGACGTGGGTGTTACTGGATTTAGGCCCCATGCTCGTCCAGTATAAATTGTTTCTGAACCGATTCCAATGCTGAGGAGGAAGTTGCTCATACCTCCAGCAAGCAATTCTCAGATGCCAGCAGGGTGTCCAGAAATTCAACTCAAATCTGACACTGCCTACTTGGAGATGGAGTCGATTCCGTAAGTTCAGTACCCCAGCCCTGCCCCGACTTCAGAGGCCAGCTGCAGTCCCAGACTGCTACCTGTGCCTCTGAGCAACTCTCTGTATGTCACAAGTTGCCACCACCCCTCCTGGCCTTTGATTAGCCTGTTAGAGCAGCTCACAGAACTCAGGGGAACATTTTGCTTACTAGATCACCATTTATTATAAAAGGATATCATTCAGGTGGGGGAGATACAGAGGGCAAGGCATGAGGAAAGGGTGCCGAGCTTCAATGCCCTCTCCAGGCACTCCTTTCTCTCCAAATCTCCACGTGTCTACCAACCCAGAAGTTCTCCCAGCCCAGTCCTTTTGGGTTTTATGGAGACTTCATTACATAAGCACAGTTGATCAAATCATTGGCCATTGGCAATCATTCCACCTCCAGCCCATCTCCCCTCATCAGAGGTCTCGGGTGGGACTGAAATCTCCAATCCCCTCATCGTCTGGTTGCTTCCATTGACAATCAGCAGCCATCCTTGGGTGTTTTCCAACAGTCACCTTATTAACGTAAGAAAAGACACCCTAATCACTCTCAACACTTCGGAAATTCCAAGGGTCAGGGGAGTTCTGAGCTGGGAACAAGACCAAATATATGTATGAGAAATATATCTGGTCATCTGAATGACCAAATATATATATATTTTTAAATTGTAATATCACAAGTATCTCAACTTGGTAATATCTGCAAAGATATGTCACATTCGTAGGCTCTAAGAGGACATGAATTTGGGGACACATTTTTCAATTCAGCACAATATAAATAAAAAATCATAAATACAATTATCAAAAAGAAAAATAAGTTTTCATGTGCCCTCTGTGACACAGCCAGTAAGTGGACTAAATCAAAGGTAGACTTAGGTCTGTTTGATTTCATGCATTATATCAGGCTGCTTTCACCTTGATAGTGGATATATATTTTATTCCTTATGAAGAATTCAAGCTACTCAAAGCTCTTTACTCCCAAACCAAACCCCTAACCCAGACACACAAACACACACTGTAGGTAAAATTTTAATATTTCCAGAATATCTCACCTGGCTTTACTGTATCTGCATATCAACAGGTGTTCCTCAGGGGTGGAAACAGGCATTTCATCTCCTTATCAATGGGTAATTACTTGGGCGACTGAGGGCTTATCTGAACCTGAGAGGTTAGGGGGAGGGCTGGCTGGCTTCTCCCAGAGCAGGAAAGAGAAACAGCCGTGGACTGCAGTTTGTAAGCAATAAACAGGTTTTAAATTTTATCTCTCCCTTTGACTGATTTCAGTTTTAGAGGTATTTTGCCCTGGGATTTCCTTCCCTGGAGGTACACACACACACACACACACACACACACACACACACACACACACACCACCTTTCTCTAATTTCATGGCAGAATGTTCTGATATGAGTACAGCACATAAAAATAGCATGTTTGACTTTTTTGAGGCACAAGATAGGAACATAGAGTATATAGCTTGGCTGACTGTATCTGGGTCTCAAGTTTACAGGGGCACATTCTCCTTTCTCTCTGCCTTCAATTGATTTGTATGTGGCAAGACTGAGAGGGGTGATTCCACAGTGAGCCTTTAGAGAATGGGTTCCCCCAGATTCCATTATTAGAAATGCAAACTCTCATGCCCAGCAATCTGTATTTTAGCAAGCCCTCCGGATGACTGCGATGGACACTAATGTTTGAACAGCTTTGGAAAGACATATCTTTTCCTCTACTCTTGGGCATTTGTTACAAGAGCCAGAGAAGTGTGTGGTGTCTCACCTGTGGTCTAACTATATTCCCCAGGGTCAGGAACGAGGAGTGTATTTGTCTTTGAGACTTAGCCAATTCTGTGGAAGTTCACATTCTTGATTTGTCCCCTCTACTTAATGTTCTGCAACCCCTGGTCAGATTGTGGTGTCTCCTGGGGGAGTACTTGGGTGGTAGGGTCACAAAGAACTGTATATATTGTATCCAGCACATCTTAATTTCAGTTTCTCCCTCATATTATAGTTATTTGGGTACATAGTTTATCTCTTTTCTCCATAAACTCTTTTAAACAGGGACAATAATACATCGTTATGTTTCCATCTTTCCTTTAGTGCCTCCAAATAATAAATTTGCCTTTTATATAGTGGCCACTCCACACTGATTTTTTTGTTGATGTTGGGGGAGGATTGAGTTATATATATATTATCTCAGAAAAAAAAAATTCACAAATGCAATTTTTATGCCCCAGATAGTTAATCGTGTTGGAATTTCATAGTATTTATCTGTACATTTCAAAGTTAATGCCTTTTTCATTGGAAACAGAATAGAATTATCCACTAAACCCATTTCTATCATGGAAAAAAAAAAACCATTTAGAGCAACATGAATCAAAATGTCCTTTTGAATCTGAAGTACAGTGACAGTAATAATGGAAGTCCCTGTAGCAGCAATGCAGCCGTAATGAGCTCCTGCCAAAGCTGTCACACGCTCACTTATTAAGCACAGAGGAGCTGTTTGCTGCTGTGGATAAAAAGAGCTAGCTTCCTTGATCGTTTGCTTAACTCCACTTTAGGTAAAGTCTTTAGAAAATAAGCTTCCATTAACGAGAATTTCTTAAAACCACTTAATGGGTCCCTGCCTTCTACTTGATGTTTAAGATGTCAACGGAGCGTACCTCTTCTTTAGGAGTCTTGACTAACTCATTTATACAGAATATGACATTCTTCCTCTGCCTCACAGAAGAAGATAGAGATTTCTTGCCCCATCATGTAATTTACAATGATTCATTTCTCTAAATTAAAACATATAGATATACATATATTTCTGATTTCATTACATTTCCATTTATCTAAGTTCATCCTTTAGAAATAGTAATCGTTTTAAAAGCTAGATATTACCTTTGTTTAGATGCTTAGTATATTTCAGAAATTAATTAGAATATAATATCCAAGAAACCAGAATTCAGAATGTTGTTTCGTTTATCACTGATGACCAGACTAGAACATAGGCACTAAATAAATATTTGAAAAATTAAATGAATTCCTTTTACCATGGAGGTGAATTTCACTTTGAAAGAACCCATCCAAAGGATAATGTAGCCTGGAAACGTGTAGCAAGGAAGAGCATAGCACCGTCTGAAACCCTGTTGGAGGCTGAATATCGAATGCCAGCTGTGGGGAGAGAAGCTGCCCAGTAATTGTACAAGTGTCCCTAAGTAGGTGGATGTGATTGAAGTTATGTCAATAATTTGTTATAAATCTAGTCACTTTGGGTTTGATAATTTGAGAACTGTCATAGAGCATCACAGAATTTTAAAAAGTCATTTTAAACAATAATAGGCTATGTCAGTGTATGATGATAGAAAAAAAAACTGCTTTTGACTCTCTAGAAAGTAATTTTTATCTCTAAAAGCAGAGTAAGCAATTTAGGATGTAATTCATGCATAATTTACACTTACGTAAAGTTTTACTGTTAGAAGTCATCCAGTTCTTCAGGTGAACTGCCAAAAGCAGGTATCATGTAGTTTATCTACAGCTGAACTGAATATAATCATCTTAAAGAAATGAAAACAACTTCTTAGCATAAAAAGATGCTTATCCTCTGATGTGTCTACTAAATATAGCTTCTGTGGAGTTAAGAACGCCCAGATTAAAAATATCTCATGCATATAAATTGGCCTGTTGTATTCCCCTTCACTCTCCTTCCAGCCAGGTTGACCGGGCCCTTCACATTTCTTTCCTCGGCCTCATTTTTTGCGCTGTAACTGCGTCAGCAAGAGTTTAACAGTTGCTGGTGGCAGTGAAGACAGTCGTCTGAACTGATGGTTATTCACCACTTCTTCATTTTCAGCTGAGCTGCTCTCTTTAATTTTCTTTTTTCCCCAATCTTAGCTTAAGTTTTCTTAGCCTTTCATGGCTAAAAATTATGTTCAAATTCCATCCGTTTTCACAAACTTCTTCTATCTCACAAAATGATCTCCTTTTCACTCTTCCCTGTGGGCCACAGTTTACCAAACTATGATTAAGTATAAGAAATGTGCTAAGGACATACCTGGATGGCCAAAGAGCTACACATTTTCAAAGGATATTAGAATTAATCAAGAGCTATTGCTATCAATCTTAGTGAAGTCTTTGCGGATTTCAGAACTCTACTTCAGAATCAGCCTATTTTTTATTTCCCTCTTTTTAATCTAAATAATCTTGATCTCTGAGCTATAATTTGTAGTTCTAAAACCATACTTAATTCCTAATATTATTAAATGATCTGCATTTTTATTGTACTGTTGTTTTCCAGTATATATTATTAAAAATGTAAATCATTTAGTACTGGGGGAGAACGTTCTGGTAACCTAGTTTGAGAAGCACACCGTCCTTTACTACACTGCTCTTACAGGAAAACACATCCCCAGGTCAGGCAAATGAATTGCAAATGGAACAGAGCAGCCTCAGCAAGCGGCCACTATTGGAGGACTGTTTGCTGATTCAGGATCACTACTTACACAACGTCTCATACAAGAAATATTTTCTATTGTTCTCCACAAGGTTTCTTAAGGTATATTTGTAAGCAGTTTTAGGAAGAAAGAAAAAAAGGAAGGAAAATTGTGGTCTTGGAATAGAGCTGAGCAACCAGTCATCTTAGGGTAGGCATAGAATCATCAGAAGGTTTGTGGAAAAGGTCATTGAGGCCCAGCCCCCGAGTTTGTCAGGATGTCACTGGTCTAGTTTATTTATAATACGTATTTTGTGCAAATTTGTTTCAGCATATGAAATAAGTGTATCCATAATTCAATTGACTCATCTCATATTTTCATAAGGAAATGCAATTTCCAGTATCTCCTCTTCATTGGAGTGATAAGTCTTTCCACCATAGGGCGCTAAATATTTTTCTCTGAATTTTTGGTTTTACTTTTTACTACAAGTTCCTTGTTGAAATTATTTTGTCTTTTATCCCAGAATATAAACACTCTATTGGGAATAGAAAGGGGAGATATTTTTATGGATTAAATCAACAA